TATTGTTTATTTTGAGCAGCTGTGGCACAAATCGAGCGGTCGTCCGATGAATCTGTGAAGTTTTTTAAAAAACTCTTAAAGAGTGAGAACGTCTGGACGTGTTGAGTCCTAACATGTGAAATATCATTAAAATGTAACTAAATGTAACTAAATTACAACACTCGACACTTTTTCTGAAGCTCGTTTTCTCGGTTGCCACGGTGATGCATCTCCTCTGAAGAGGACGACGAACGCGCTGCAGACGTGAAACGTGCTTCCTGTGGAGTTGCAGCAGCTTCAGATTTGTTTCTGTAACGAACATCATAAACTTTCGGTTCTTTTCATGGTTCTGCCAAAGGATGGACCAGATTCAGACTGTGAATTATTGAGTTTGGTCTGTTCTACCATTAAATAATAAATATTTATGTTGATAAGGTCAAAAAACGTCTTTTCTTGGAGGCTTCTTCAGTAGGAACCACAGACTTTCTGTTCTCTTTTCTCCACATCAAACTCAGAACAAAGACCAGAACTCGGAGCTTGCGTGAAACTTCCCGGCAGCTTCACGCTGGACAGCTAAGTTACGCAGGCTGTCTGTCTTCAAGTGTCTTTAACAGGTTGGAGAACATTTCCTCAGCTCGCAGTAATGATCTGTCTTCAGGTTCATGTTGCTCCTTTCTTCTGTCACTGACAGCAGCCAGCGAGCTCGAACTAATAAAATTTGCAGCTGACGTGAAGCAAAAGCTCTCCAGAGGAGTCTGCGTTTCAGCAACTTAATCGCACGTTTATCTAAAAATCCTTCGGAGGTAATAAAGAAGACCAACAGCCAGAAAATCTCATTAAAGTTAATGTCATTTGTAAAAAATCAGCTCAGGCGAGACAAAGAAAGTCTGAATTTCTTTGTTATCGTGCGTTCATCATCGGTCCCTCCTGGATTTTTCACTTTTGATGAGCCCAGTTCAGAGCTGAGGGCAGCTGTGGGAGGATGCTGAGTTTATATCTGAGTTATTCAGGTTTCTGCACAAGAGAAGGAAGCAGAAACGTGTGGATGTGAAAGTCTCAGTGCCTTAAAACGACTCAACATCAGCATCATCCAGTAACCTGCCGACATCGTTGAGAGCAGCTCAAACTAGTTTACATGGAGAAGATAAAAGAGGATAAACAGCTTCAGCTCGACGGCGTCCTCCCTACGGCCGTGTTGGAAAACACTTTGACTGAGCATCAGCAAACAGCTGAGGAGCACTTCCTGTTTCTCTGGGAAACACCTGAAACCTCCGTGAAGTCCCCGAGCGCGAGTGTGA